GAACCTGCTGCAGGAGCGGAACGAAGTACGGTCGGGGCCGCGCGGCGACGCCAAAAACAGCAGGGACAGCACCAGTACCCCCAGCAGGAGTACCCGCTCCAGCAGCACCTCCACCAGCACCTCCAGTAGCTCCAGAACCTCCAGCAGCACCACCAGGAGCACTGCCAGGCGGACCGCCAGCGGCAGTCTCAGCGCCAACACCCTCAGCAGCACCAGCTCCAGGAGAACCCTCAGACCCAGCAGCTCCAGTACCCACAGTACGAGCACCTCCGCGACGCTCGGCAGCAGTACCCTCTGCAGTCGAAGAACCTCCAGCACCAGCAGCACGCCTCCAGCGCCTGGCAAACCACTCACGCAGCTCCTATGGGGAGAGTGGCTCTCGGCGAGACGAAGCACCTCCAGGCACAGCACCCCCAGGCACAGCACCCCCAGGCACAGCACCCCCAGGCTCAGCACCCCCAGGCTCAGCACCCCCAGGCTCAGCACCCCCAGGCTCAGAACCCCCAGGCTCAGCACCCCCAGGCTCAGCACCCGCAGTAGCACCAGAGTCACCAGTGACCTCGACAGGCTAGACCGCGTCTACCTGGGACACACCTGAAGGGGCAGGACCCTGAGGGGGGAGGGGGTCTACCGGGGGGGGACCTGGTACCAAGAAGAGCGGGGGTGGGGGGAGGGACGGAGTGCGGTAGGGGAAGAGGCGGTAGTAGGGTACCGACTTGTCGAACGTGACGTCCTGGGAGGACAGAACACGTCGAGAGGTGGGGTGGTAGAACTGCCACCCAGGGGCGTCGGGGGGGAACCCCAGGAAGACGCAGGGAGCAGCGCGAGGGGACAGCTTGTCCGCAGACAAGTCGCGGACAAACGCCCGAGATCCCCAGACCCGGAACGCCGACGCATCGCCAACCTTCCCCGTCCACAGCAGGGCTGGGGAGGTCTCCGGCCTGGAGACCCTGGGGTGGAGGTTGATCTGATGCGCTGCGTACCTGACCGCAAACGGCCACAGAAAATGGGGGGCAGCCGCATGCATCATGGACGTACGGGCGACGTCCATGACCATGCCAATGCGGCGCTCAGCAATCCCATTTTGCTGCGGGGAGTCCGGAAGCGTGAAGGACTGGCGGATGCCTCGCGCACGATAGTAGGCACGCAGAAGGCCAGAGGAGAACTCTCCGCCTCTGTCCGAGTGCAGACGCAACACAGGAAAGTCGGAGCCAAAGCTCTGCCTGAGCTGAAGACGAGCTGCGCGGATCCAGTCGATTAGCACCTCAGTGACCTCACCCTTGCTGCGCAAGGGGAAGACTGTGGTGTAACGCGAGTAGTCGTCAACAACGAGCAGGAAGTAGCGCTCCTGACCCTGGCCACGGACGCGGGCTGGGCCCCACACGTCCATGTGAAGCGTCTGCAACGGGGCCTCTGTCGGAGGAAACTGGGAGGAGTGAGGGGCAGCACGCTGGCGCCCCTCGACACAGGGGACACAGGCAGGGCCAGGGCCCTGAGGAAGGGGAGGGAGGGACCGGGGAAGACCAGACACAAGAAGACGGGAGGCCATACCTCTGAGCCGAAGCAGAGAGGGGTGGCCAAGGCGGTGGTGCCAGAGGAGGGTCTCGTGAGACAGACGACGACACGAACAGGGGGCAGACTCAGGACCAGACCTGGACGCCGCAGCAAACACCTGACCAGACGAAGGGACCCTACCAGACTCAGTACCTGGAGGAGAAGCAGTGGTCAGTGTGTACAGGCTCGACCCCGGCCGACGTGTAAACGTAGCCAGGTGGCGACCTGTGCTAGCCTCCGTGCAGTGTGTCACCCGCTGACGAGCAGGAGTGAACTGGTGGACACCCGCATCCTGTAGGTCAGCACCACTCACCAGGTTCGTCGAGAACGAGGGGAGGTAGAGACCAGACAGGGTGCCAGAGGGGGCCGCCGGACACGGAAGGACCGTGGAGAAGCGAGACAGGACAGGCCCCCCAGAGGGGTCCGCCAGGGACACCGCAACCGGCCGACTCAGTGGCGTGAGAGTGGTGCGGTCCCGAAAGAAGGAGCGAGAGGCCCCAGAGTCGAGGGTGAAGGTGTGAGAGGCCGAGGCCGACACAGTACCTGAGAGCGCAGACTCACCAGTACCTGAGCGTGCAGGCGCAACGGCACCTAGTGCAGCAGCCTCACAGGCACCTAGAGCAGCAGTACCAATGCCCGGGTCGGGCGGGAAACACCGGTAACAGTCATCCTCATCACTACCAGTCACAGCATACATAGCAGAAAGAATAGCATCAAAGTCAAGATCATAAACAGCTACACTAGCCCTAGACAGCTCCCCCCAGCGGGGGATCTCAGCGGCCTCCGGAAACTGCTGACGCCAGGCGTCGGTCAGGCGGCCAAAGCAGCGGCGGGCTGTGTGGGTGCCACCACACCTCTCCCCCGCACGGTCGCCGGTGCGAAGAACGTAGGGGCAGGGACCAAACGCACCACCACGCTGACGCTGCAAGTACCACTCACGGAGCTGCTGAGGGGCGGGGACGGCGCGAGAGCGCTGCTGCTGCTGTGGCTGCTGCTGCTGCTGCTGCTGCTGCTGCTGCTGCTGGCGCTGACCACCCCCAGAGCTGCTTCGCTGGGACGAGCCACTCCGACCCCCGCCGCCACTGCCACCCCCGCCTCCACCGCCACCCCCGTCTCCACCGCCACCGCCCCCACCGGCACCCTCGCCCCCTCCTCCTCCGCTACCGCCTCCGCCGCCACCTCCGCCTCCACCGCCTCCACCAGTACCTCCACTCCCGCCACCACCTCCACCGCCACCCCCACTCCCCCCGCCACCCCCACCTCCTCCGCCACTGCCCCCTCTAGCTCCACCCGCTCCCTTGCCCCCCTTGCCCTTGCCAGAGCGGCGTCTACCGCTGGGGGCAGACGCCGCACCGACCGACTCAAAACCAGCGAGGTCGGCCGCAGCGGCAGAGGCGACAGAGGGCAGCAGGGGGGAAGGAGAACAGCCCTCAAAGATGGGGGTGCGAGGGTCACCCCGAGAGGCCCCTACAGCGACGATGCTCTTCTCAGCCGCTAGCAGGGACTCCTCAAGGAGGTCGACAGTGAGGGTGGTGGGACAGACAGAGAGAAACTGGTCCCTAACGACACGAAGGGACTCAGGGAGACGGGTGACGAGAAAGTAGAGAGTGATGTACATGGGAGGAGGGTTTGCGGCGCGGAACTCAGCAGGAAGGGCAGCGCGGTAGCGAGCGTCACTAGCGCGGAGGTGGGTAAGGAGGTCAGCGACAGTGGGAAAGGCAGCGAGGTCAGGGAAGAGAAACGGTAGCATGAGGCGGCTCAGCGTAGCGGAGGAAGGGGAGGAGTAGCGTGCAACTACAGCGTCGTACAAGGCCTGAGCGGTCTTGCACTGACTAAAGTGGGCACGCTCGGAGGAAGGGAGGTGGCGACGCACAGCAAGACGTGCAGCAGCATCGCGGGTCGCCCACTTGGAGCGAACGGCGGAATCAGCATCAGCAGGAGGGGCAGGGACAGCGCCAGAGACAAAGTCAAAGAGAGAGACCTCATCGATCGCATCACACAGTAAGTACAGCTGCAGGTCTTCAATCCAGACTGCAAAGTCAATGGCTCTACCCTCAGCGTCAAAAGCTAGGACATTGGGGGTGGCCATGACAGCAGCTGACAGTCTCACCGGGCAGGAAGAGTCGGGTAGGTTAGCGGCACAGGAACACAGCCCAGGAGCAGCAGTAGCCCGACAGGAGCAGGAGTGCGGCTCCTCTGGCGGCTCGGGCAGCTCGGGCGGCTCGGGCGGCTCGGGCGGCTCGGGCGGCTCGGGGGGCTCGGGCGGCGCGGGCGGCTCGGGCGGCGGCACGGGCGGCTGGGGCGGCGCGGGCGGCTCGGGCGGCGGCACGGGCGGCTGGGGCGGCGCTCGGGCGGCTGCACGGGCGGCTGGTGTGGCTCGTGGGCGGCTAGCGAGCGGCTCACGGGCTGCTGCACGGGTAGCTGCACGGGTAGGCGGACGGGCGGGTGCACGGGCGGGAACACGGGCGGGTGCACGGGCGGCCTCACGGGCGGCTGCACGGTCAGCTACACGGGCGGGTGAACGGGCTGGTGCACGGGCGGCTACAAGGGCGGGTGCACGGGCGGCTCACGGGCGGGTGCACGGGCGGGTGCACGGGCAGGTGCACGGGCGGGTGCACGGGCGGCGACACGGGCGGCTGCACGGGCTGTTCGTCGGGCGGCGTCAGGGCGGCGCGTGGGCGGCGGTCTGGGCAGCGGGACGGGCGGCGCGGTGGGCAGCGCGACGGGCGGCGCTCTGGCGGGCAGCGGACAGCGCGACGGGCGGCGCTAGGGCGGCCGCACGGGCAGCGCGGCGGGCGGCGCTAGTGGGCGGCGCTATGGGCGGCTGCAAGGGCGGCGCTCACGGGCGGCGCTAACGGGTGGCACGACGGGCGGCGGCTCACGGGCGGCGCTACGGGCGGCGGCTCACGGGCGGCGCTACGGGCGGCCGCACGGGCGGCGCTACTGGCGGCGCTAACGGGCGGCGCGAACGGGCGGCCGCACGGGCGGCGCTAACGGGCGGCGCTAACGGGCGGCGCTAACGGGCGGCGCGAACGGGCGGCCGCACGGGCGGCGCTAACGGGCGGCGCTAACGGGCGGCTCGAAAGGGCGGGCGCCGAGGTGGGCGCTAGGGCGCTCGTTAGGGCGGGCGCTAGGGCGGGCGCTAGGGCACTAAGGCGCTAGGGCAGAAAAAAAAAAGTTTTAGGTGGTGGGCCCTAAGCACAGTTCCCACAGGGGAACCTGCTCTGATTCCAAGAGAAGAAGTGAACGAGAGAATGGGTGAACTATGAACGAAGTGAGTACAAATAGGAAACCATAGCTGGGTTGTACCCCCTATGGGATACCCCACTATAGCCTACACAAATAAGTAAGCTATAATATTCTGACACATTAGTAGCTGAAAAAGGGTGTGAGGAGGAGGGGTAAGATGAGTGGGATGGAATGGCAAGGATGGGTGGTGTTTGGAGCTACTGCGGCTGCTGCAGCTGCTGCTCCTGCTCCTGCTGCTTCTCCTGCTCCTGCTGCTGCTCCAGCTGCTCCTGCTCCTGCTGTTGCAGCTGCGGCTGCTCGTGGAGAGCTGCATGGGAACAGCCCACGTCGGCTAAGAGAGCCTGGTCTTCCATGCGTTGTTTACCCTATAACACCATCCAGAAGAGGAGCGGGAGGGCAGGGGGTAAGGGAGGAAGGAGATACGAATGGATGGCGTGGCTTTCTTGGCAACGATGCTGAGGTGATCCAACGGGGATGCTGCACTGAGTGCTGTGTGGGAAAGGCTCGCATTGCATCCACTGATTACTGCTACTGCGCTGCTTGCTGCTGTGCTGCCCCACCAGCCATGCACCCACCCCGATGAACTCAACCGTCCCCAAATTACCTCCCATCCCCAAATTACCTCCCATTTCCAAATTACCTCCCATACCCTTCCCGCATGCACCTTTGACTTATAGGACAATCGAAAGTGCTCCATCACCCTGTGCTGCCCCACCAGCCGCTGCAGCCTGCCGTCTTTGTTCTCCACCTCCTGCTGCGTGCCCGCCAGGTGTTGCTGTAAGGAGGAGGAGGAGACAAGGAAAGGGGGGAATAAGAACAGATGAGAATTTTGAGAGTTGGGTGTTATGCTGATGGTGTACTTACAGAGGCTTTAACTCCACTACCTAATCAGCCGATTCTAGGTCCCCCCCAAAAAAGAAAGCCTCGCCTTGAGCTGCGCACTCTCATGGTTAGTGTTTTGAGTCAAGTTGGCTCAAAATACGACTCATTTCTCACCCGGAGCTGGGCATTCTCTCGGACGAGTGCCGGCTCGTGTTTATTGAGAGGTCTCAAAAAACATATTCAGCATGCAATTCCCCTTCTTGGATTTTGAGAATTCTACAAAAACTGACTCTAGCTCAATTGAAGAAGTCTCACCTAGAGCTGCTTAATCTCAAAATCTCCAACGGGTCGTGTTTTGATTTGAGTCGACTCACAACACGACTGATGAGAATTCGCAGCTCATTTCTCACGTGGAGCTGCATAATCATATGTGCACGCGCCAGCTCCTCCTGCTCTCTCAGGTCGACCACGCTTGTCTGCACTGCCAGGTCCACCTGCAATCGCTCCATCTCCTCCAAAGACCAGTGGAGATGGTGAGAGGATGAGAAGACAGGGAAGAAAAGGACGCTAAACAGTACCTCTTCGTTCCTTTTTCTTCTTCTTCTTTTTTCCAAAAGGGTTACAAACGTATCAGCAGCGTGTATGAGGGCGTTCACACCATCTTCTGCAGAGGCCTGCACACATTACATAACCGTGCTGCGACACTGTGGCAATCAGGCAATTGCTAATGGCGCTTTTATTCAATCAATCTGAAATCATACGAGGGATTTTTTAGTTCTCAAATGAGAGCATCTAGAGCAAGACAATAGGGGAAATGGTGAAGTGAGGGGTATACAGAAAGGTGGAGGAACGAGGCAGAGTGGAAAGCGATGGCTCACTTCCCTACCTCATAAACGAGAGGTTTAGAGGGGTGACAGTGGAGAGGAGAGCGGATGAAATAAGGAATGGTGGAGAAGGCAGGAGGTGTGGGTAGAAAGTGTGATGTAGCAAGTAAATAAGGAAAGAAGAAACAACACTCCAGTATTATGATTATAAAGGGGAAGGAGGGGGGGGCAGATGGGTCGGGCCGGTCCCAGCTCGGATCAGGCCAGAAGGAGCCTGCCTGTATATGCTGGGCGATGGGGTGACAATCCAATACAGTCCTAACCCATGCTCATCGCTGGTACATAGCAGAGTAGTTTTTTGAGTCGACTCAGAATAAGCCTGCCTGTATATGCCAAGCAATGGGGTGACAATCCAATACAGTCCTAACCCATGCTCATCGTTGGTACATAGCAGAGTAGTTTTTTGAGTCGACTCAGAATAAGCCTGCCTGTATATGCCAAGCAATGGGGTGACAATCCAATACAGTCCTAACCCATGCTCATCGCTAGTGCATAGCAGAGCAAGAAGAGAGAGGAGTAGATGCAATGAGTGGGGAGGAAGGCAGAGGGCGGAGCAGAAAGACCAGTGAGGGAACGAGGGGTTGGTGGCTTACATGTCATTCTCGTGAGTGCGCTGACGAGTCTTGCGTTGCCTCTTATGCTTCTGATGGTAGCAGGAGGAGAGAGCATGGGAAAAGGCATGGGGGAGAGCACGGAAGAGAGCAAGGGAGAGAGCAGAGGAGAGAACATGGGCGAAAGCAAGGGAGAGAGGAAGGGAGAGAGCAAGGGAGAGAGCATGGGAGAGACTTTTAGACTCGCAAAGAACCCAGCTTTTGGGCCACAGTAAACCCACGTTCTTCACCTGCTGCTGGTTCCACATCCGCGCCTCCTCTTCAGTCAGCTCTAGCACTATCACTCCTGGTGATGCTGCTGCTGGCCCTGGAGTCGCCTCCAAGGTCAGGTCTACCACTGGCACTCCTGCTGATGCTCCTGCAGGCGTGCATCCCACATCCCAACCACCTCCAGTAGCAGCAGCAGCAGCACGTGCAGGCGTGCTCACAACAACTGCCTCCTCCTCAGGCAACTCCAGCAGGATCGCTCCTCCTGCTGATGCTCCTGCTGATGCTCCTGCCGATGCTCCTGTTGATGCTCCTGCTGATGCTCTTGCTAATGCTCCTGCTGATGCTCCTGCAGACGTGCCTGCCACATCCCAACCACCTCCAGTAGCAGCAGCAGGCGCAGCAGCAACACGTGCAGGGGTGCTCAAAACTGCCTCCTCAGGCAGTTCCAGCAGTATCGTTACTTTTGCTGATGCTCCTGCAAACGTGCCTGCCCAACCACAAACAGCAGTGGCAGCAGGTGCAGCAGCATAAGCACGTGCAGGGGTGCCCACCACCACCTCCTCTCTACGATCCCCCACCACCTCCTCTCCACGATCCCCCACCACCTCCTCTCCACGATCCCCCACCTCCTCCTCTCCATGATCCCCCACCACCTCCTCTCCACGATCCCCCACCACCTCCTCTCCACGATCCCCCACCACCTCCTCTCCACGATCCCCCACCACCTCCTCTCCACGATCCCCCACCACCTCCTCTCCACGATCCCCCACCACCTCCTCTCCACGATCCCCCACCACCTCCTCTCCACGATCCCCCACCTCCTCCTCTCCACGATCCCCCACCACCTCCTCTCCACGATCCCCCACCTCCTCCTCTCCACACCCCACCTCCGCCTCTGCTTCATACCACACCTCCACCTCCTCTCCACACCCCCACACCACCTCCTCTCCACACCCCCACACCACCTCGTTTCCGCACCCCGTCCTCACGTCCTCTCCACGCTCCCCCCCTTCCTCCGCTCCACGCCCCCTCACCTCCTCCTCTCCACGCTCCCCCACCTCCTCTTCTCCACGCTCCCCCACCTCCTCTTCTCCACGCTCCCCCACCTCCTCTTCTCCACGCTTCCCCACCTCCTCTTCTCCAGACTCCGCCACCACTCTGCCAAGCTCAACACCGTCACCCACCCCTTCCAGCACAGCCTGCAGAATCATCACCTCAGCGTCAGCCTCACTCCTCTCCATCCACCCATCCATCTTCGCTTCCTTTGCTTCCACCGCCTCTGCCCCGCTCAATGTTTCCATGGCTCTCTGCACGTCCTCCTGCAGGCTTGACAACCTCTCTCTCTCTTGCTCCTGCTGCATCTTCAGGGTTGCAACCCTCGCTCTCACTCCCTCCTCTGCATTCCGCAGGCCTGCCAGCCTCTCTCTTGCTCTCTCCTCCTCCTCCAGCCCTGTCAGCTCCTTACTCGCTCTCTATTTCTTCTCCTGCAGGCTAGACAACCTCTCTCTTGCTTGCTCCTGCACCTTCTGCAGGGTTGCAACGCTCGCTCTCACTCCCTCCTCCGCATTCCGCAGGCCTGCCAGCCTCTCTCTTGCTCTCTCCTTCTCCTCCTCCAGCCCTGTCAGCTGCTTACTCGCTCTCTCTTTCTTCTCCTGCAGGCTAGACAGCCTCTCTCTTGCTTGCTCCTGCACCTTCTGCAGGGTTGCTACACTCGCTCTCACTCACTCCTCTGCATTCCGCAGGCCTGCCAGGCTCTCTCTTGCTCTCTCCTCCTCCCCCTCCACCCCTGCCAGCCTCTCACTCGTTCTCTCCACCTTCTCTTGAAGCCCTGCCAGCCTCCCTCTTGCTCTTTCCTCCTCCTCCTCCAGCCCTGCCAGCTGCATACTCGCTCTCTACCTCTTCTCCTGTAGGCTTGCCAGGTCGTCATGCAACCCTTCCAGCGTCTCTCTCACTCTCTCCTCCTCCTCATACTGCCCCCTCAGCATCTCTCTCATTCTCTCCACCTCCTCATGCAGCCCCGCCAGTGTCTCTCTCATTCTCTCCTTTTCCTGTCTCACCAGATTCTCCCTCGCTCTCTCCCCTACCACTGCCGCCTCTTCCTTTGCCTCCTGCAGCTTCCGCGCTGCTTCCTCTTGTGCCTTTCTCTCCCCCACTCGCTCCCTTTTCTTCAGTTCCTCTACCCTCCTCAGCGCCTCATCCCTCTCTTCCGTCAACCTCCTCACATCCTCTCCCTCCCTCACTCTCTCCCCTCGTGCTGCCACGTCACTCCCCTCCCCTCATCCACCACGTCAGCCTCCACATCTGCCACCGCAAGTCCTCCTGCTTCCCCCGCTGCAGCCTTGCCCCTCATGGAAAGCGGAGACTCAATCCCCTTGGCGCAAAGGAACGCCATTGCAAGATTCCTTGCAGGAATCCTGCCCTCCTGGTGGTGGGGCAAGGAGGGGAGGGAAGGGGTAAGAGATGGTTGATTCTTGCAACGATGTTTTGAGTCAACTAAAAACACGTGCCCCTCGTGGGAAGGGGAGACTCAAGCCCCTTCGCGCAAAGGAACACCGCCTCAAGATTCCTATTGACCCTGCCCCGCTGGTGGTAGGGCAAGGAGGGGAGGGCAGGGAAGGGTGCAGGAGCTTGGTTGATTCTTTGAGAATTCTTAGTGAGAATTCTAAAAAAAAATACGTGAGATGTGACGATTTTCCAGGCGCCTCACAACTGCCCTCCTGGTAGGGCCAGGAGGGAAGGAGAGAGTGTAAGACTTGGTTGATTCTTCCCGCCAGCCGCTCTCTTCTGATTTAACAGCTCCTTCCCCTGCCGGCTGCATGCGTGGGGAGAAGAGATCGCCGAGCAGGCAGGCAGGGGAGGGAGAGGAGGCACGGCAGGGAGGGCAGGGAGGGGAGGGAGGGTAGGGAGGGGAGGGAGGGGAGGGAGAGGAGGTAGGGTAGGGACGGGAGGGAGGGGAGGGAGAGGAGGGAGGGTAGGGAGAGGAGGGAGGAGAGGGAGGGGAGGGAGGGCAGGGAGGGGAGGGAGGGGAGGGAGGGCAGGGAGGGGAGGGAGGGCAGGGAGGGGAGGGAGGGCAGGGAGGGGAGGGAGGGCAGGGAGGGGAGGGAGGGCAGGGAGGGCAGGGAGGGGAGGGAGGGCAGGGAGGGCAGGGAGGGCAGGGAGGGCAGGGAGGGCAGGGAGGGCAGGGAGGGCAGGGAGGGGAGGGAGGGCAGGGAGGGGAGGGAGGGCAGGGAGGGGAGGGAGGGCAGGGAGGGAAGGGAGGGCAGGGAGGGCAGGGAGGGGAGGGAGGGCAGGGAGGGGAGGGAGGGCAGGGAGGGGAGGGAGGGAAGGGAGGGGAGGGAGGGCAGGGAGGGTAGGGAGGGCAGGGAGGGGAGGGAGGGCAGGGAGGGGAGGGAGGGCAGGGAGGGGAGGGAGGGCAGGGAGGGGAGGGAGGGCAGGGAGGGGAGGGAGGGCAGGGAGGGGAGGGAGGGCAGGGAGGGGAGGGTGGGCAGGGAGGGGAGGGAGGGCAGGGAGGGGAGGGAGGGCAGGGAGGGGAGGGAGGGCAGGGAGGGCAGGGAGGGGAGGGAGGGCAGGGAGGGCAGGGAGGGGAGGGAGGGGATGGAGGGGAGGGAGGGGAGGGAGGGGAGGGAGGGCAGGGAGGGCAGGGAGGGCAGGGAGGGGAGGGAGGGCAGGGAGGGCATGGAGGGCAGGGAGGGCAGGGAGGGCAGGGAGGGCAGGGAGGGCAGGGAGGGCAGGGAGGGCAGGGAGGGGAGGGAGGGCAGGGAGGGAGGGAGGGCAGGGAGGGAAGGGAGGGCAGGGAGGGGAGGGAGGGCAGGGAGGGGAGGGAGGGCAGGGAGGGGAGGGAGGGCAGGGAGGGGAGGGAGGGCAGGGAGGGGAGGGAGGGCAGGGAGGGGAGGGAGGGCAGGGAGGGGAGGGTGGGCAGGGAGGGGAGGGAGGGCAGGGAGGGGAGGGAGGGCAGGGAGGGGAGGGAGGGCAGGGAGGGGAGGGAGGGCAGGGAGGGGAGGGAGGGCAGGGAGGGTAGGGAGGGCAGGGAGGGGAGGGAGGGCAGGGAGGGGATGGAGCGCAGGGAGGGGAGGGAGGGCAGGGAGGGCAGGGAGGGCAGGGAGGGGAGGGAGGGCAGGGAGGGGAGGGAGGGCAGGGAGGGGAGGGAGGGCAGGGAGGGCAGGGAGGGCAGGGAGGGGAGGGAGGGCAGGGAGGGCAGGGAGGGCAGGGAGGGCAGGGAGGGGAGGGAGGGCAGGGAGGGGAGGGAGGGCAGGGAGGGGAGGGAGGGCAGGGAGGGGAGGGAGGGCAGGGAGGGGAGGGAGGGCAGGGAGGGCAGGGAGGGCAGGGAGGGCAGGGAGGGCAGGGAGGGGAGGGAGGGCAGGGAGGGCAGGGAGGGCAGGGAGGGGAGGGTGGGCAGGGAGGGGAGGGAGGGCAGGGAGGGGAGGGAGGGCAGGGAGGGGAGGGAGGGCAGGGAGGGCAGGGAGGGCAGGGAGGGGAGGGAGGGCAGGGAGGGTAGGGAGGGCAGGGAGGGGAGGGAGGGCAGGGAGGGGATGGAGCGCAGGGAGGGGAGGGAGGGCAGGGAGGGCAGGGAGGGCAGGGAGGGGAGGGAGGGCAGGGAGGGGAGGGAGGGCAGGGAGGGGAGGGAGGGCAGGGAGGGCAGGGAGGGCAGGGAGGGGAGGGAGGGCAGGGAGGGCAGGGAGGGCAGGGAGGGCAGGGAGGGGAGGGAGGGCAGGGAGGGGAGGGAGGGCAGGGAGGGGAGGGAGGGCAGGGAGGGGAGGGAGGGCAGGGAGGGGAGGGAGGGCAGGGAGGGCAGGGAGGGCAGGGAGGGCAGGGAGGGCAGGGAGGGGAGGGAGGGCAGGGAGGGCAGGGAGGGGAGGGAGAGGAGGGAGGGGAGGGAGGGCAGGGAGGGCAGGGAGGGCAGGGAGGGGAGGGAGGGCAGGGAGGGAAGGGAGGGCAGGGAGGGGAGGGAGGGCAGGGAGGGGAGGGAGGGCAGGGAGGGGAGGGTGGGCAGGGAGGGGAGGGAGGGCAGGGAGGGGAGGGAGGGCAGGGAGGGGAGAGAGGGCAGGGAGGGGAGGGAGGGGAGGGAGGGGAGGGTGGGCAGGGAGGGGAGGGAGGGCAGGGAGGGCAGGGAGTGGAGGGAGGGGAGGGAGGGCAGGGAGGGGAGGGAGGGGAGGGAGGGCAGGGAGGGGAGGGAGGGCAGGGAGGGCAGGGAGGGCAGGGAGGGCAGGGAGGGCAGGGAGGGCAGGGAGGGCAGGGAGGGGAGGGAGGGCAGGGAGGGGAGGGAGGGCAGGGAGGGCAGGGAGGGGAGGGAGGGCAGGGAGGGCAGGGAGGGCAGGGAGGGCAGGGAGGGGAGGGAGGGGAGGGAGGGGAGGGAGGGGAGGGAGGGCAGGGAGGGCATGGAGGGGAGGGAGGGGAGGGAGGGGAGGGAGGGGAGGGAGGGCAGGGAGGGGAGGGAGGGCAGGGAGGGGAGGGAGGAGAGGGAGGGGAGGGAGGGAAGGGAGGGGAGGGAGGGCAGGGAGGGGAGGGAGGGCAGGGAGGGAGGGCAGGGAGGGCAGGGAGGGCAGGGAGGGCAGGGAGGGCAGGGAGGGCAGGGAGGGCAGGGAGGGCAGGGAGGGCAGGGAGGGCAGGGAGGGCAGGGAGGGCAGGGAGGGCAGGGAGGGCAGGGAGGGCAGGGAGGGCAGGGAGGGGAGGGAGGGCAGGGAGGGGAGGGAGGGCAGGGAGGGCAGGGAGGGCAGGGAGGGGAGGGAGGGCAGGGAGGGCAGGGAGGGCAGGGAGGGCAGGGAGGGCAGGGAGGGGAGGGAGGGCAGGGAGGGGAGGGAGGGGAGGCCAGGTGGGTGGCTTGTAGGACCTTTCCTCACCTTCTACCTTGCCTGCATGCTGATTAACACAAGGACGATTCAAGGGGACGGAGGGGAGGGAAGGGAGGGAGGGGAGGAAGGGCATGGAGGGGAGGAAAGGGCGCGGGAGGAGGGTTGAATTTTTCCTGCCTGCTGCTTGTTTCTCCACCTGGTGTATGCGTTGCTACAGGGCAGAATCAGCAGGAATGTATGCAAGAGATGCGTGAGGGATGGCATGAGAGGTGGCATGCGAGCCAAATATGCAGCAGTGGGCTCTCTCTCTCCTGATTCTCCACACTCACAACACCACTCTTCTCAGCATCCAACCCACCCACCTGCTGCTCCTTCTCCCCCTCCACCTCTTCCTCCTCCGTCTCCCTCTACCCCTCCCGCTCCACATCACTCTTCACAGCATCCAGTTCACTTCCCTCCTGCTGCTCCCCCTTCCCCTCCGCCACTGTCGACAGCCTTCCCACCTCCACCTCTCCCTCACCCAACCCCTCCACCGTGTCCGTCCCTGTAGAACAACCAGCAGGAGTGGCAGTGGTGGTGGGATAGCGGGCTGAGGCGGAGGCGGGGGTGGTGGCTTGGGAGTGAGTTAGGGAGCGGGCAGTCGAGGTGGAGGAGGAGGGAGGGAGGCGCTAATGGGCTCCACAGGTGCAGTGCTCGTGCATGAGCTCACACATGTGGCGATAATCGTCCTGTGTGGATGGAAAGAGGTCGGGAGAAAGAAGGGAGGGGAGGGAAAAGGGGAGAGAAGGGAGGAAGTAACGACAGGGAGAGGGAGCTAGGAGGGAGGAATAATAAGGAAGCATGATTGGACGGAGGAGGAGAGGAAAAGTCAGGCTTTGCAGATGCATAGCTCTCACGCATGCGTTGAAGCTCGCATGTGTGGTTGGCGGAAGAGGGGGCGTGGAGGGAAGCATTTACTATTTAACAGGCTGAGGTCTCGTTCGTTAACGGAATTAACCAGACAAATCACTCCACCAACTAAGAACGGCCATGCACCACCACCCATAGAATCAAGAAAGAGCTCTCAATTGGCCAATCCTTACTATGTCTGGACCTGGTAAGTTTCCCCGTGTTGAGGCGCCTCATAAATGGGCTTTGCTCTGCAGATGCATAGCTCACGCATGTGATGAAGCTCGTGCGTGTGGTTGGCAGAAAGGTGGGGCGCGGAGGGAAGCATTTATTGTTGAGGCGCCTCATCGATGGGCTTTGCAGGTGCAGAGGTGGTGCGGGCAGGATTAGCTTGTCTATGTGATTGGAGGGAGAGGAGAGGTTGGGCGCAGGAGAACGAGGGAGAATGAGAGAGTGTGAGGGAGAGCGAGGGAGGGCGAGGGAGGATGGGAGTTGCCAAGCAAGTGATATGGTGGTGTATTGCGTGAGATTAAGGCGTCATGAGGCTTGGAGACTGGACGCCATGATGCTAGGTTTCAAAAGCTGAAGGAATAAGCCGGGCTAAGGTAAGTCGTGAGCGCGTCTCCTACGAGATAGCCGACTCTTCTACGGCGACGTCCCTAATTGATGATCTTGCATGCAGTTTTGTGAAGCAAGGAAGTGATGAGTTCACTTCAGTCCGAAAGTACTGCTTTATTCAGGTGTTGCGATGCGGAGATGCCCCCTGTTAGCAGGGAAGTTACGTTGTTTTAACCAGCGAGAAGGTGTTGGTAATCGCCACTTTTCTTGTCAAACCCAATGTTGGTGTACCGGGCGTTCCAAATCAAAACTTCTGGTCGCAATCGCAACGGAACAAACTCTAGCAGGGCAACGATCAGAATGGTTTAAAAAATCCCATCTCTGTCCGGGTAATGTCTCCAAAGAAACCTTGAAAGCTGTGATCGAAATGTTCTGACAAAGCGCGAAAGTACAGTCGGTATATCCTATTCAAATATTCGCGCGGAAACAGTCTGACAACGGTCTGATACAAACTATTGCGTCACATCGTAAGGAGCCACAGTCAACGCGATTCAAGTTTGACCAACCTCGAAATATATCAGAGAACCTTTCTCACCTCCAAAATTTATATGAATAAACTAGGCAAGGATATTTTTTACGGAATGTACTTGGTGTAGTGTGTGGAAAAGCCAGTGTACTAATTCCTTAGAGCACCTTTCTTACGTAGCTGTTACTTCTAGTTACCAGCTCTCGTGGTGCACCACCAGTTCGTACCATAATCGTAAAACCACCACACCACATTAGCAGCGAAATACCCCTACCTTTGGTGCCGCGCACTCCCTTGTCCCCCCGCTCCTGTCTCTTCTTGTCCCGTTCCCCTCCACTCGAACTCTTTCTTCTTCCCCTCCTCCCCTCGTCCCCTTCACCTTTCCTAGTGAACCAGGCAGTTACTAGGCTTGTACCCGTTTTAGACTTGTAGTGACTGCTCTCTACAAGCATGGCTGATAGAGGCGGATTCGATCGCGGCTTCGGCCGCGGGGACCGCGGAGGGCGCGGGGACAGGGGCCGCGGAGACAGGGGGCGCGGGCGCGGGCGCAGACGCTCGGACGATAAGGAGGAGGCGTGGGTGCCGGTGACTAAGCTCGGGCGGCTCGTGAAGGAGGGGAAGATCAAGTCGATCGAGCACATTTACCTCTTTTCGCTGCCGATTAAGGAGCATCAGATTGTCGAGGCGTTCCTGCCGACTCTTAAGGACGAGGTGATGAAGATCATGCCCGTGCAGAAGCAGACGCGCGCCGGGCAGCGTACGCGTTTTAAGGCGTTCGTCGTCGTGGGTGACTGCAACGGTCACATCGGCCTCGGCGTGAAGTGCGCTAAGGAGGTGGCCACCGCCATCCGCGGCGCGCTGATCCTCGCGAAGCTGTCCGTGATTCCCGTGCGACGCGGGTACTGGGGTAACAAGATCGGCAAGCCGCACACCGTGCCGACTAAGGTTACCGGGAAGTGCGGCTCGGTCACCGTGCGACTCGTGCCCGCGCCGCGTGGTTCCGGGATTGTGGCGGCGCGCGTGCCGAAGAAGGTTCTGCAGTTCGCGGGGATCGAGGACGTGTTCACGTCGTCGCGCGGCTCCACGAAAACGCTCGGCAATTTCGTGAAGGTTTGTAACCCCATGCACCGCGCACGCATCTCGCCAGCTGACCAACACAAGCGCGCCAATGAAAATGCGCCATTGAGCATGATCTTTCGAAAATGCGCGTCCGTGTCGGTCGCTATCCGACGCGTCGGAGAGGCCGTTTTCGTTCTGAGAATCTTTCTCCGTTTTTTTTCCTTAGAATTCAGAAAAACGGTCGCCATTCGACACGCAGGAGAGGCTCGCTTTCGCAGTAGCAGGGAAGGCCGGCAGCGGCAGGAAAAGGGTGGAGGGAAGGGGAGAGGGGGGGGAGGGGGTGTGGTGGTGTGGGGAGGGGGAAGATGGGCTGCCAGAGGGGGCGGAACTGTTATGAGGGCGCCTGGATTTAGCTTGTTGGTTTAGCACCTGCACCAACCGCAGATATCTAGGCTCGTCGTCACAAAGCGTTAGGGGGCGGGCGGCTCATTGACTTGTCGGCGTTTTTACTGCGCCCTCTCAGCTACTGCAGTGCCGGTCGTGGTAGCTAGCTCTTAAAACAGACGGCTACAGGTTAGAAGCGTGGTTAACACACGGATATCATCGAGCGATGGCGGACGGCGAGCTCTGTAGTGGACCTATGACGCGTAAGAGCGATCCGTGGGCCTGTAAGTCATTCTACTCGACTTGAAAGTCATTCCGAAGTCTGTACTTGCGGCCTGCGCATTCGTGAGCTGGTTGGTGGATCCAGCGTAGATATCTAGGCGTGAAGATATCGCTTTACTACCGCGTAGGTGTCCAGGCACACGCGGTTCACATTCATTGCTGGTAGAACGACGGTTGGTATGTAGGACGACGGTGTGAACAGATTCCTATGCGATACTTGACATGACGGCACTGATGGTTCGCGTACGCCAGATGATTCCGCGCCTAACTGTTGGAGCAGTGATGTAGTCAAGCTCTCTCACAACCGACTGGTGGCGTGTGATGCTTTGTCTATCGATGATTCACATGATGCGTCCCTCCCTCACAGGAATGGGACTCGTGAAATCAAACCCTTTGACTTCTGATGCCACGCGTCGTTTGCCATTCCCTCCCTCCCTTCCATGCCTTCACTTAGTCGATTTCCAGCTCATTGCTGCGCCCACTCCGCACCCTCCCCCCTCTTCGTCCCTCTTCATCCCCCCTCTTCACCGCCCCTCTTCACCCCCCCTCTTCACCCCCCCTCTTCATCTTTACCCCCCCTCTTCAACCCCCCTCTTCCCCTCCCCTCTTCACCTCTCTCGCCTGCACTTTTCCCCAACCTAATCAACCCCCCGCCCCCTCCCTCTCTCCTCTTCCTCTCCTCTCCCTCCCCACTTTTCTCTCATCACTTGGTGGCGTGTGATGCTTTGTCTATCGATGATTCACATGATGCGTCCCTCCCTCATGGGCACAGGACTCATGAAATCAAACCCTTTGACTCCTGATGCCACCAAAGCTTCTCTCCTCTTTCATTGCCTCCCTTGGCTTATTTCCGATTTAGCTCCGCTTTTCTCTTGCTCACAATCTTCCTCACACATGCCCCGTCTTCCCACTCGTTCTCCCGTTCCTCCCTCGCCCCCCTCCACACCCTTCTCCCTTCCCCAACCCGAATGCAACCCCTTCCCTTGGCGGCGGCAAGTGATGCTGGTCTATCGATGATTCACATGATGCGTCCCTCCCTCGCGGGAAGAGGACTCGTGAAATCAAACCCTTATGACTCCTGATGCCACCACTGGGCCTCGATCCCTCCCCCCTCTCCCCCCCCACTCCCGCTTAACTTTCCGCTTTCCTCCCGCTCCTTGACTTCTTCAACTCCTTTATCAACCCACATTGAGTAGCCGCTCACTTGCTCCTTCACTCTCCTCACATACAACATTCTCCTGTCTTCCCAACACACGCTCGCCTTTCTCACGCTGACCCTGGCACGCCACCAAGCTGCATGGTCATCATTCCCCTTACCTTGCCGTCCCATCCTGTCCCTCGCCTCCTCTCCCTGTCGCTCCCCGCAGGCCACCTTTGCTTGTCTGCTCACCACACGTACGCCATCCTCACGCCCAACCTCCGACACGCCACCAAGTTTCGTGTGCATCATCCGTTTTCCCTTCCATTCCCTTCCACTTGCCATCACTTGCCCCCGATTTCCACAGGCCACATTCGCCTGTCTGCTCAACACATACGCCTTCCTGACGCCCGACCTCTGGCACGCCACCAAGTTGTGTGTTCATCATCCACCTTCCCTTCCATTCCCCTGCATTGCCGTCCCTTGCCTTGCACCCCGCTCTCCCCTCTGCAGGCCACGTTCGCCTGTCTGCTCAACACGTACGCCTTCCTGACGCCCGACCTCTGGCACGCCACCAAGTTCACCAAGACGCCCTTCCAGGAGTTCACCGACTTCCTTGCCAAGCCCCACAAGCTCGCCCTCCCTGCCGTCGTGCCCGATGCCTTTGCTGCCCCCCCTCCTGCCGCCGCTGCCCCTGTTCCTGCGTTCTAGATGAGCCAGCGCTGAGTAGGAATGGGCTTGTTTCTGTAGATTCAATTTCTGAATGCACACAGTTGTGAATGATTGTGCTGCAAGTTAATCTGAGTCAAAGAACAAGCTTGTATCATATCCGTGTGTCCCTCTTGCTGCCTCAACAAGCCCCAACTGCACACAGAACCTGTGGTGGTCACCAAGCGCTAAGGCCTTGGTGAAGACGTCTGCAGTGTTGGCCTCTGAGGCCACAAAGTCCAGGCGGGCCTGGCCGCGTCGCTGCAGCTCTCGCAGGAGGAAGTACCTCACGTCAATGTGCTTCACTCTGCTCTCCAGTCGAGGCTCTCGACACAGGAGGATCATGGCCTTGTTGTCAGCGTACAAGGTCGGTGCAGAGCGAGGCCGCTCACCAAGGTCGACGAGCAAGAAGGTCAACCAGCGAAGCTCCTGTGCCGCCATGGCACCAGCGTAGATCTCAGCCTCTGCGCTGGAAGTAGCCACAGACGACGACCGTGTAGACCTCCACGACACAGCACCAGCTCCCAGACTGAAGCAGTAACCCTGAGTCGAGCGCTGAGTCTCCACGTCGTCAGCGTAGGAAGAGTCGCAGTGACCAGTCAACGCCACTGGCTGAGTCCCTCCAAGCACAAGCCCCACTCCTGCTGTAGTCGCCAGGTACTTCGCCACCCTCACAGCTGATGTCCAGTGGACAGGACGGTGTCTCCCAGTCGCAACAAAGCGCGAAAGGATGCTGAGGGGAAAGGCGAGGTCCGGCCGAGTACAGGTCATCAGGTACATGAGGCAGCCCACCAGCTCTGCGTAAGGACCACTGGACTCGAAGGGCTCGTCAGGAAAGGGGCCCGTGAGTCTGTGGTCAACAGCAAGAGGAGTGGGCTGTGCGGTGGAGAACTGGAAGTCGAACCGCCGAAGGACCTGCTGCACCATGTGTGACTGCGTCAGTGTGATGGTGCGAGCGGCTCTGTCCCTGGTGATCTGCAGGCCAAGGTAGCGCTGCAGTTCACCCAGGTCAGTGCACTTGTGTCTCTTCTGCAGTTCCGACTTCACCTGAGCCAGCGCTGCCCTGTCTGCTGTAGCAAAGACCAAGTCGTCGACGTAGACAGGTATAAAGAAAGGAGTAGAACCCTCCCGAACAAACAGTGAAGGGTCGGCAGTCGACGGTCTGAAACCAAGGTCACGAAGCGTGGAGCGAAGAGTGTCGTGCCACTCTCGGGGCGACTGGCGGAGACCGTAGACTGGTCGGCGCAGGCTCCACTGAGTCCCAGGAGGGAAGGTGTCAGTGAAGCCAGGCGGACGACGCAGCCAGATCTCCTCGTGCAGTCGGCCCTGGAGGAACGCAGTGGAGAAGTCGAGGGAGTGCAGCTCGTAGTCTCGCTGCGCTGCTATGTGAAGTAACACCCGAAGAGTAGTCATCTTCGGGGTCGGAGCAAAGGTCTGGAAGAAGTCAACTCCCTCACGCTGACTGAAGCCCCTAGCCACGTAGCGCGCCTTGAACACCGGAGGTGCTCCAGGCGGCCGCTTCACCTTGAAGAGCCACATGCCATCGACTACGTTCGCCCTAGGAGGGGGGACTGCGTCGACGTAAGTGCCTGTGGATCTCCAAGACGCCAACTCTGAGTCCATAGCCGCTTTCCACTGAGAGGCCCACTTCCCTGACACAGCCTCGCGGTAAGTGCGAGGAGTCGGTATGTCCAGGGCGTCGGGGTCTCCCTCAGGGGAGAGCAGCATGGCACAGACAGAAGGAGAAGCGGCTGCCCAGTACTCCAGCTCAGACTCTCTGTCCTCTAGGACGTCACAGCCAAGGGCAAACTCACCCCCGACGGACAGAGGACGGTAGGGAGGAGCAGGGACCACACGGGTAGCGTAGTCAAGGCGGCTAGCGGCAGCAAACTCAGCGACAGCGGCAGTGAGAGCGGAGGCAGACGACGGGGGGAAACGAGAGTCGGTGACAAGAGTGGCTAGGACACGGGAGGCAACAGGACGAACAGTGCGGTAGTAGTCAGTGATCGGAGTGGGGAGGGTGGGGAGAGAGGACAGAGGAGGAGACGGGAGAACGGACACAGGAGACGGAGAACGGCGACGAGACGAACACAGGAGGGCAGTGTGGAGGTCAGTAACAGGGGACGAGTGACGAGCACGCGGGGGACAACGGGTGACCAAGTCACGACTGTCTAGGACTACAGGAGGAGGAGACTGTGGCGGAGAGAATGACCTGACTGCTGGACTGGCGTCCGGAGGAGGAAACGTAGGACCAAACACAGGAGGAGAGGAGGAAAGGCCAAGGGCCCGCAGGCCACTCACAGGGGGGAACAACTGCCGCTCCAGAGGGAGCTGTGGCGGCGGCTGCGGCGGCGGCTGCTGCTGCAGCTGCTGCGGCGGCTGCTGCTGCTGCTGCTGCCGCTGCTGCTCCAGGAGGTCCAGTACCCGCAGCTCCTGCCGCTCCCTCTCCAACCGCTCCTGCTCCTCACGCTCACGCCGGCGGGCAGCCTGGAGACGTGTGTCGTGGCGGTGGGGAGGCGGAGTGGACTCCGCAGACCCAGGGTCAGACTCCTCAGACTCAGCACCCCCAGAACCAGCACCTCCAGCTCCAGCACCCCCAGAGCTAGCGCCACCTGCGCCAGCACCTCCAGCTCCAGCACCCCGCGACCGAGTACCCCCAGACCGAGCACCGCCAGCGGCTGCACCTCCAGCTCCAACACCAACCGAGTCCACAGTAACCTGTCGCGGAAGTGCCGAAGGCTGCTGAGGGGACTGTGAGGAGGACTGTGGGGAGGGAGACGCTACCTGACGCGCGACCGAGGGTAGAGGGGTAACGTGGGACACACCAGACGGGGCAGGACCAGGGGGGGGCGGGGGTACCGGAGGGGCGGGAGCAGGAGGAGGAGAGGGTGCGAGGAAAAGAGGGGGAGGGGGTACCGGGAGACCTCGACAGGGGTACCGGGTGTAGTAGGACACGGACTCGTCAAACCGGACGTCACGGGAGTCTAGGAACTGGTGGAGGGGAGGGTGGTAAAAGGTCCAGTCAGCAGAGCCGACCGGGAACCCAAGGAAGACACAGTCGATGGCGCGTGCCGAGAGCTTGTCCGCAGAGGTGTCGCGGACTTGCGCAAGGCAGCCCCAGACTCGAAAGGCCGACCCAACACCAGGGGAACCAGTCCAAAGACTGGTCGGTGAAGCCTCGGGCCGCGAGACACGCGGCTGGAGGTTCAGCTGGTGTGCGGCGTAGCGAACCGCGTAGGGCCACAGAAAATGGGGCGCACGGGCGTGAATCATGGACGTGCGAGCAATGTCCATGACCATGCCAATGCGGCGCTCAGCAACCCCATTTTGCTGTGGGGACTCTGGCAGCGTCCAGGACTGGGTGATGCCCTGTTCGCCGCAGAATCCGGCAAGAATGCCGGAGCGAAACTCGCCCCCTCGGTCGGAGTGGAGACAACTGACTCGACGACCACGAGTGCCCTCAGTGGCCAAAAGCCACCTGATCAGCGTAGCAGTCACCTCGGACTTCTTCGCAAGAGGGAACACTGTGGTGTACCTGGAGAAGTCGTCGACGACCACCAGAAAGTAGCGCTCCCTCCCGGACCCCTGTGTTGGGGCAGGGCCCCAGACGTCCAGGTGGAGAGTCTCGAAGGGAGCGGTGGCCGGACGAAGGGAGGAGGAGTGGGGAGTGGCGCGTAAGCGACCGGCGACGCACGGAGAGCAAGGAGGGGCAGGCGAGAGAGGGAGCGACGGGAAGGTGCGTGGGAGACCTGAGACAAGTCCCTGACTGAGCATGCCACGTAGGCGAGGGAGCGACGGGTGGCCAAGGCGGTGGTGCCACAGGACGGTGCGGTGGGTGAGAGAGCGACAGGAGCACGACGCAGCGACGGGGCTGGACACAGCGACCGGACCGGACACTACTACCTGGCTAGACACAGCAACTGGACTGGGGACCTGGGCCGGAGGGGACGCAACGACCTGAGGGGAGGACGCGACCGGGGAGCGCTCGGTGTGGAGGACGTAGAGACCGGAGCGGGGCTCCCGGGTGAACGTGGCCAGAACAGCACCTGTGGTAGCGTCTGTACAGACTGCAGTCCGCCCACCCCCCACGAAGGTAACCGTGATCCCCCTGTCCTGGAGGTATCCAACACCCACCAAGTTCCGAGTGAACGAGGGGATGTGGAGGCCGCGCAGGACACCAGAGGGGACCACAGGGCAGGGGAGGGTGGTGGAGCTGCGCGCAACGGCTGGTCCTGAGGTAGGATCAGCCAGAGCCACCGACACAGGTGTGAGGAGTGGGGTAAGGGTCGTGTGGTCGCGGAAGAAGCACTGAGACGCGCCCGAGTCCAGCGTGAACGACAGAGAGGCCTCAGCCGGAGGGTCACTTGACTCAGTCGCTACACAAGCACCTAGAGCAGCAACACAAGCACCTAAGCTAGACAGGCACAAGGCTACACTAGCAGGAGGCAAGCAGGCTAACCTACGAACACGCGAGCAAACAGATCCATCAGCACTAAAGTCAGCATCAACAAACAAAGCATGCTGACGCGCATCGTCCATGGACAGATCAAATACATCAATCTTACGGGCTAACAGACGAGACCAGCGAGGCGTGACCGCCTGAGGGCCCCAGCGAGCCCGGTAGAGGTCGTCGAGGCGGCGGAAGCACCGCGCGGCAGAGTGGTCGTCGCGACCACAGAGGCAGGGGCTGCCCGGCCCGGTGAGGCACCAATGGGTGCAGGGGCCCCCGTCACGGCGAGGGGGACGAGGGGCCCAGCTGGAAGTGCTGCTGCTGCGGCCGGTGCTCCCTGGGCCTCCCTGACCCCACTGTGGCGGGGGACCCCAGTGCTGCTGCGGACCCCACTGCAGCGGAGGGCCCCACTGCTGGAACTGCTGCTGTGCCTGCTGCTGCTGCTGTCCCGGCTGCTGCTGCTGCTGCTGCTGCACCTGCTGTGGCTGCTGCTGCTGTGGCTGCTGCTGCTGTCCACCCCCACCGGTCGGACCACCACCAGTAGGCGGGCCTG